TAGCATAGGTTGATTTCTAGCATAGGTTCTGAAATTTACCAAACTTTTTTCTGTCTGCTGCTCGGGTTTTCCTGTTTAGTGTGTGAAATTCAGAAATTTGATACGAGGACCACCGAGGCGTCCGGGCAAACTTACTTATGGGAGAAGCACTTTGTTGATCAGCACTACCACGGCAACTGCACCCGCACTGCATCATGACTGATTTGAATGTGCTCATTGATTTTAATGAATTTGCGTCTTTAGGGAACCCGTACTGTAGCCCATGTTTAGTTTGGCGTAAGAACAATGTTAAGGCTATTAATAAATGAGATAATTATGTTAAAGTGGCTCTAATATGGGTGTTGGTGGAAAAAATGGAATTAAAAAGTTTTTGTCCTCAAACTCCATTCATCAAGCACCATTTCCATTCCAACTGTCAAATTGGACAAATTATAATTCAGAAAATAAATTCACTAAATGGAAACACAGCATTTCAGTGTGAGAAAAATTTATGTTTTACATTACAAAGTTTTTTGCGCTTTGATGGAAAGGTTTTTCAGTTCATATTTATGTGTTACATTTTGCCAAACTGAACGGAAATACGTTTTTTGCATCATGAGTGACGTGATGTGCACCTAGACATCACTGCGTTGTAAAAAAGATGAGGAAGAAGACCAGAAATCTGGATACAATTTATGTGATCAAATCCATTATTGCCTGAACAAATGTATTTACATGCAATTTTGATTATATAATAGATAAGATAGGATATATTTTATTGATCTCACAGTGGAGAAATTCCCTTGTCACATTGGCTCAATAGTCTAAAGAAGGTGCCAAAAGGAGAAAAAGGTGCATGGGGCGTGTCCACACACATTCACACACACCCCTAAACATATATATATATATATATATATATATATATCTCAGCTGAAGTCTCTTATTTAACAGGATTGTTGCAAAGGTTATTACCGCACAGGTTATTGCACATGGTATTAAATAGTGATTGCACATTAGTTGTTGCACCATTTATTGCAGTTATAGTGCCACATCGTAAAGTCTGATGGCAACAGGGATGAAACACCTGCAGTAGTACTCCTTTTTACAGGTGTATTTGCTCTTTAATGGACACACATCAATAGAGGAAATTCTTGGTTTTTTTTAAATGTTGCAGAATATCGACATCGTTTTCTGCACATTTTAATGAATGTGTTGAAACAAAAATATCTAAATATTACCTTAAGGATTTGAGTTTGAGACAACCCATGTAAAGCCATCACCAAACTAGCCTGCAACTGAACAGCAAGGTAACATTTAGCTGGATGCTTTGACATTAATAGGTTTGAGAGTTTGACTGGTTACCAGTTGGTCAAGAATACTTCACTATATCCGAGGGTCAGCTTTAGCATCAGCTAAAAGCCTTAATACGAATATTATGGTTTATGCCTGAAGCAGATCAATGAACGTCTATTTAGCAGAAAGCATTGATACAGCAAAAACAAAAACAGAAACCTTCACAATAAGAGCCTTGAGCATTTAAAAAAGCTCTGAATTCAAAATAAAGCACATATAAGCTAATTAGAACAGGAAATGGGGCATTCAGGACCAGAGGCAGTGAACGCTGTGATTTCTGCGAGCCCCGCAGGTAGTTCACCGTTCTGCATTTCAGAGGCACCCTGGACCACATCACCAACTTAGAGAAGCTTCAGCTGCATGAAGCTGAAACCCAGCTGACATAAAAAAAAAAACCTCAGTAAATGGTTATAGCTTCTTTAGTGCAGGTTGGTGCATTTAAAATGGTCATTTGTAAAATTGGAAAAAAATAAAAAATAAAAACTAGAAGAAGTTCACATGTGCTGCTGTTTTTTCAGAGATATTAAAGGTTATTTTTTTAGGTCACCCTGAGGTCAACTACCCCCCTTTAAGCTCCGAGTTAAATAAAAGTTATGTAGTCCTCTTTTTTGGTGCTAATTAATTTATGCAGGTAAAAGTATAATCTGTACTGACTTGGGTTTTAAGATTAGAAGAATTATTTTTAAATCAATTATTCTTAAGTACGGATGATGACGTCATCATCCCAGCAGACGTTACTGCTGAGTGCATTTCTGATGTAAAGTTATTGCATAACATCACATGTCATTCCTGTGCTGGTGTTAAATATGAAAGATGTTATGTTTACCTTATTTAGTGGCTGAAATTATTGTTTAGTATTTAATAAATAACCCGCCTTCCAGACCCTTCACTTTGGACCTGTCAAGGTCTCGCTGTTGGAATTTCACAATAAAAGCAGAGGTGGAACTTAACATCCAAACTGCTGCTAAATTGTTTTCTATGAACAACTTTTGAATTACCTTAGGGAGGCCATAATTTTTCGGAAAAGCCCCAAAAGCTCTGAAAGAAAATTGTCCACTTTGGGTTATCAAGAGCTACGTCTGGATGAGGGTCGGATTCGGTGGAACTTCCATGTAAATCTACCCCCTCAGAAAGAACCGTGGCTGGGCAGTGGGCAGTGACATAACTGGGGTCTGTGCTGGAGGTAAGTGAGGACAATTAACATCCCTTCTAAAACTAAATTAAAAACAGCTTTTTTTAAACCCACCTAAAGACCTCTAGACATTGCTTACTTTTACCTTTATTGAATTATTTTCTCTATATTCAATTTTAAAAGAAAAAGGCTTCACCTACAACCAGTCCCTGATCGGTGGTCGTGTCATGATGTCATAGAAAACTTTAGCTCTTTTCAACCTCAGCAATCACCGCTCTGCTCTCTTTGACAATACCTCAGCTCTATCTAGTAGCACAAGGTCAGGGTTGAGCAGTGAATGCTCCAACTGCGTAGAGTTCACTGCATCCCCGTCCTTCACCGCCCTGTTTGCATAGGGATGTGAATCCACCGCAGTCACTACAGCCATTGCGCCCGGTCTGAATACAGCATACAAGAGTCCTTAAAGTTTGTGACAACACAACTGTCTGTTTTTTTTAGAAAGTGGGGGTGTTCAAGCTGCAGGAATTCAAACTTGGTGACTTCATGCAGCAGTTGATGACTCTGTGTGGATTCAGAACAATGAAATCTTTTTTTTTAATTTTGACAAATCTATCTTTTGGCAAGCCAAGGTTTACACTGCATTGGCTTCAATGATGTTTATGCAAATTATCCCATTCTGAAACAATTTCTTTTGTTGTTATGCATTCATCCTTTAATTTAATTGAGGCAAGAAATAAAACATCAGGGAGACTAAAGTCTTAATCTCAAATAGAGGATGAGACTCATTGAAATAAATTCTTGAAAGACACTATGCAAGAGTGTAAAAGAAACTACTATTTCCTCTAACAACAATAATAATAATATATTCATCGCACCCCTAAGAGACAACACTGCCACCTCCCAACACGAAGCGTCCATCTCCTAAAGCATTGTATTCAGCTGCCATCACCACCCAGGTTGTTGCACACATCTCACCGAGGCGTGAAGGAGGGGTCTAAATGAGTTGTGAGTGTGAAAAATCTGTCCGAAGCCATCCTGATGTTGGGTCTACAGGGTTTTTGTGAGAAGACAGCCAGCCTCTTCTCAGAACCGATGAGGTTATTAAAACCGTACGATCACCTGCTCCATCACACCATCCTGTAACACTAGGATTCTTTAGCCCTTTGCTGCCATCTATTCCTAACTTTATACCAATAAAAACATTGATGTGCCTTTAAAGAGAAGCTGGAGCTCTAATAGAATCATCAGTCATGCTGTTTGCTGGGGATTTATTTGAAAATAATCTATTTTTTAGTTTATTTCCGGATAATGTTTACAATATTCAAGGCTTTTGACATTATGCTCTTTATTAAAACAATTATTTTCTACTATTGTGTTATAGTTACTTTTCCTCTGCTCATTTCAGAGACGAAACAACGCCTCCGTTTAAGTTTTTGCATCTTCCCTGAGTCATGGGAACAAAATCTTGTTCATATATTTATTTGGTGATGAAAAATAACACAAAAAAAGCTCTGATTTTTTGCTATTGGGATTATTACAAAGGATAAGTCCCAGATGCACATGCAAATATTTGAAAATACAATTATTTGCCTCTGGATTTGATTGCACTTGCCTTTTTATATTTTTATTATCCTACAAGACACTCCTTCAAATGCATCTATATTTTAAATAAATCCATAATTTAAAGATGCACTACTGACCTTATCATCCATTTGGATGTGCAATTAAACCCCATCACCAACATTGCTCTGATCATGTGTGAAACATCAGAGTCTGATGTCTTAAATCAGCAGAAGCCCTCAGGTGGAACAGCTAATGGTTTAAAGCAGAAAACTGAGCCTCAAATCTGTCCTCCTCGCAGATTCAAATCATTTCAAAGCCTGATGAAATGATTCAGACCACAGAAAGCAGAAGTCCAGCAGACGCACAAAACTGAGCGCGTGCAGAAAATAATCAGAAAATAAGCACAGCGATCATAAAAAAAACCCCTGAAACATCTCAAAGAACCTCTAGAAGAGTTTCTTACTCGCCGCATAAAGGAATGTGTCCCATTTCTAACCATCTAAGGCGATTATTATTGGAACAAAGTGGACTTCTTGTTCCACATGCTGGGATTTACATTAACAGCTGACAGAAAAAATCTACAACAAACCAACAGTTGCGCGTTATATTCAAACATTTTGCGCCACAGAAAGAGCATCAATCAGCGCCACTTTGGAGCAGTTTCCTATATTTTAAAAACACAGCATAGGAAACGGATCCGCACACATACAGGGGTCTAAAATAAAACACTATTTTTGAGCAAAAAAGCCAAACAGATCCGATTTTAGCGGAGGCTGTCCGAGCTGCACTTTGCAGCGACTTGCGCAACAAAGTTTCCCGTTAGGTTCGGGTGGCCCCTGCGTCCTGATCCAGCGGACCAACTGAATGTATGAGATCTAAAAACAAGCGGATAAACAAACAAACAGAGGATTGTTTCCAGCAGCCGGAGCAGAGCAGAGCAGCGCGCTCATGTTTCTGCACCACCTGTACTCACAGAGAGAACAACAGCAGAGGTCCGAAGAAAATCCAGAAAGCTCCACATCCAACCTCTCATTCCCCTCCTCTTCTTCTTTCTCCTCTTCCTCAGCTCGCCTACACAGCTGCTGGAAGTTTACTGACGTCAGTGCTCTGAGCGCTTTGGTCCAAACTGGAATAATAAGAGGAAGGGGGGGGGGGGCGGAAACAATCAGGGAGGCAGGGGCCACTTTAGGGCCACTCGTCCAATACATGAGACATGTTGAAAAGCAAACAATCTGTATCATGCCTTCAAAGAGTCCCTGGAGTCATTTAATGAAATTCATCCCAAAATCTGACCACCAGGGGCGCTGTTAGGGTTTATGCGGGTTCTGTTCTGGAGATTTTAATTGTATGTTTGTTTTTTGTTGGTTTGGGGTTTTTATCTCTTACTTGAATGTTTTTTTATTATAATTTTTTGCCTTGGAAAAGCAATGTATTCTTTTTTTTTTTCTTTGCACCTTTCTTCCAATGTTGTCCTTAATTGAATAATAGGGGATGGTGGGCAGAGGTGGATACTAATTAGTTACATTTACTCATATAGGCTACATCTTCTTCAGTAATATTTTAAGAACAAAAATCCTATTTTTAATGTACCATACTTCTTAACTTTTAGGAAATATGTTTTTTTTTCCTTTTTTTTAATTTTATATATATTTTTTGCACTGTTTGATCACTGCTGCACTTAAATAATTGGAAATGTCATAACAATGTATAAAACGAAATTTCGTATTACAAAATGACAATAAAAGTTGTCAAAGTCTAAAAAAAAGTCTAAACTTTTAGTTGAGTCATATTCTTGTGAACTACTCTGACATGAGTTTAATATCTTGCCACTCTGTCTGCTGTGAGTTAATAGATATTTAGCTGAATATACAGTAAACAGTAGATATTGTAAGTGGAATTTTTTACCCTTCCCTATAAATTTATTACATTAAGTCCTGTTTTTATAAGCTTT